TGACCTTTGGTAAGATAGCATGACTGTCATCATCATCATCATGGGTTGATGATGATTTTAACAAATGTTCATCACTCGCTGAATTTGCGATGTTTGCCACAGGTGGATCATGGCTTGCCTCATAGTCAGCTCTGAACTTGCCAGGATTGGCAAAGGTAATCTTCTGTACTGGGGAAGCCGTCCACGAAATATTCGACAACCTGCCTAACTCTCACGAAGCAAAAGACTACAAGACTACTTTGAAACTTAAACTTAAACTTTAAAATACGGCATTTGAAATATACAAATTTCTTCAAGCTCAACAACTCGATGGAGAAAGCGTTGATCAGTTTTATACTCGTCTCCGACTATTAGTATCTACCTGTGAATTTAACGACATTGACAGTGAATTTCGAACTCAGATCATTAAAAGATATCAATCGAAAAAACTGTCAGAGGCTGCATTACGAGATGACACAATAACACTCGCAAAACTTCTTCAACACGCGCGTGTTCTTAAAAATTCAATGAAACAAGCTTTAGACATGGAAAAAACCTTAGTATAACCGAAAATGAAACAACCCACGCCGTGGCGGAAATGAATCACATTTGTACAACACAACACGTCGCCATGCACGCCCTTCTTTGCCTGACAATAATAAACCGCCTGACAATTCGCGTGTATTTCAACAACAAAATAACCCTGATCGTTGATCTAACACACAGCGAGCAACGTCGAAGTGCTATAATTGTCGCAACTCGTGGCCTCATCTAGATACTCCATGTCCAGCGAAAGGAAAACAATGCAACCATTGTCGTCATCTTGGGCATTTTGCTAAGGTTTGCCGCTGGACGAGAGTCCCGTCACATCCCCGTCGTCGTAGCGGAAAACACATTCGAAACATCGATTATCACCGTAGCCCATCAGCGTCAAGCTCTGAGTCCGATGAATGGCTTTACTCAGTTCAAAGCGAACAACAAAGAAAACGTCCAGAATTTCCGGAAGTACATCGCCTCAAGCGAAAGTCAAAATCAACAATGTCAATTTCACGTTCATGATTGATACCGATGATTCCATCAACGTCTTGCAACGATTCCAAAAGCGTGATGTTGAAATAAAGCTTCACATTGATCCCAACGTACCACCTGTCACACAACCAGAGAGACGAATTCCCTTCCACCTGCGAAACAAAGTTGCTGCAGAATTGAAACGACGTCCACAATTGAAACGAATGCAACAGGTCCTACACTATGGGTGAGCCCAATCGTTGCTGCACCCAAACCAAAGAATCCCAACGAAGTTCGTGTTTGCGTGGACATGCGGCTCCCTAATTGTGCCATTCGCCGAGAACGACACCCTTCACCTACCGTGGATGACATCATCCATTCACTTAATGGAGCCAAAACCCTCAGCAAGCTTGACCTGAGTTTTGGCTACCAATCAACTAGTCTTAGCACCAGAATCACAGCACATCACAACTTTTACCACTCACAAGGGACTTAAGAGATACAAACGTCTGAACTTTAGCACTTCATCAGCTGCCGAAATTTTCCAACATACCATTCAACAAGCTCTAGATGGTATCCATGGAGCTCTGAATATCAGTGACGACATCTTTGGGAAGACTACAGCAGAACACGACAAAGCCTTGGAGGAAACTTTCCAACGTTTTAGCGAAAAGGGACTTACCCTTAACCCTGAGAAATGTTTTTTTGATAAGAAAAACCTTGATTTCTTTGGGTACACATTCAGTTCATGTTACTTGATCCCAAGAAAGTTCAAGCAATACAAGATGCCACTCTTATGTCTTGCGTTTCATCTACGATTTTTCCACTCTTACAGCCCCCCTTCGCGCTCTCAATCGTCATTCCACCAAATGGCAATGGACACAGCAGCACCAACATGGCTTTAAAGAATTGAAATATCGATTAACCATGGCATACTTTCACCCCGCATTCTTGTTGATGCGAGTTCTGTCGGTGTGGGTGCCATCTTAACTCCGAAAACCACTTCTTTTATTAGTGCTAGTGAGACAAAAATTGTGGCGCATGCCAGTCGCTCCCTCTCTAATTTGGAACAAAGATATTCCCAAACAGAGCGCGAGGCTCTCGCCTGTGTATGGGCATGTGAAAAATTTCACCTGTACGTCTATGGTTCACCATTCACGTTGATTACTCATCATAAGCCGCTCGTTCACATTTTTAACAATCCGAAAGCCGAACCTCCTGCGTTCGTTACGAGCCTGGCAAGACAAATCCTGCCGACTATATTTCCCGTCACCCACTGCAAAACCAACCCTTGCGTGAACGTAACATCGCCGAAGAACACGTGTCCCTTCTCACTACATCTGCTGTCCCATTCACAATGACACTAGCTGAAATCCAAGACGCCAGGTGAAAATGACCCACCGCTACAGAAGCTCACAGAACTTATTCATTCACAACAATGGCACTCAGTTCTGAGTTCATGCAATCACGCTATCACACAGGAAAGCGTTTCTTCTAAATGCAGCACACGAGCACATGACAACAAAGTAATAAATTACATGATATATGACAGATATATATGGGTATCTAAACAATACCTGCCAAATAGTTTCTTTCTTTATAAATTATAACCAATAATGTTACCTTCCAAACGGACTGTCGGATACTGATCTAATGCTTAGTGTCAGCTAAATATAAAAAGAGATTGAGGGGGAAATTAGCGACAGGGGAAACAGGAAATATAACACTGGAATCTAACGCTTTTTGTCAGTTAAACAAATGCAAACTAGGTGGAAATTAGTGATAGGGGAGACCGGAAATTTACACCGTGATCAAACGCTTTTGTCAGCTAAACATAAATACAAACTGGGCGGAAACTGGTGATAGGGGAAACAGAGAATAATACACCGTGACAAGAGGTTATGAGAAGGTCCTTGAAGCATAATTTAGCATGCCAACACGTACTGACAAAATAATTCCACTATTTATAGGTCCAAATTATTCTAAAAAGCAACAAAACGGAATTTTGTCAATGAGCTCCTGAATAACATAGGTAAAGATAAAGAGCTGGCTTCACTTGAGATCAATTTCACATCAACAACAACTTCATTACTTCAATATGGTGGTATACGACATTCTAAATTTATTAAAAGGAATAAATCAGAGAAATATTTTAAACAGCGAAATCATATGAGTAATTCACATTGCTCTAAAAAAGTAAGAAAGCTTTTAAAAACAACAATACCCTTTTACAGGAAACAGCTATTAATGACTGTCAGACGTCCTAATATACTGAATATAAAGTGAGATGAATAAATTTATCATATTCATTTTGAAATCAATGGTGTTTTTTGCAATCTGATTGGTTAAAGATAGTGTGATTAATTCCCAAATCGCACTATTTTTGAGCATTAATCACATCATTTAGAAGCTAATAACATTGAAGCCCTGCACCAAGCAATAACAACGCTAATGATTTACAAGAAAATGTTTCTCGACCCTGATTGGTTGATTTCAGTGTATTTAATCCCAAACAGTAGTGCAAATGTGTAACAGCTGCAGTGCGACTTTCGGATTTTCTACGGATTTTTGCATTTTTCATTTTTTTATCCTCGTTGACTGTTTCATTTTCAGGGTATATTATTGTTCTACTGCACTGTGGGAGTAAAAGATCCCCTTGTGGAAAACTCTTCTCTATTACCAAAACTCTATTACCTTTTCTTAGTTATATCATTTTTTTCGAACCATACCCGTATGAAAAAGATGATGAATTAGAAAAGAAAATTGGAAAGAACGTAAAAGAGATCATCGAGCTCTATGCCACAGCTTGCTGACAGCAGCGGACATGTGCTATACTGGAAGAACTCCCTCCCATTGCGCACAGTATAACAACAATACTAAGGGGAAATGCTTTTTTTTCTATTTCAATTTTCAATTCAAATTTTAATCAAGTGCAAATTTTTTTCCCATCAATATTTTTTCTTGTGCCCAATTTCCCTTCGCATTTTTTTTCCTGTCCTATTTTTTTATGAAGTGTCCAAATTTTTTTTCCATCAAAATTTTTTATCAAGTGCCCAATTTTTTCCCATCAGAATTTTTTATCAAGTGCCTAATTTTTTTTCCGATCAAAATTTTTTTCTCCGGCCAATTTATTTCCATTCAAATTTTCTATCAAGTACCAATTTTTTTTTCCATTCAAATTTTTTATCAAATGCCGATGAAAATTTTTTTCTCATGCCCCATTTTTCCAATTTGTATCAAGCGCCCAACTTTTTTACCATTCAATTTTTTATTATCAAGTGACCATTTTTCACCATCAAAACTTCTAATCATTGCCCAGATTTTTCGGTGTGCTAGCCATTGCAGCGGTCGAGACTCGAGATCGAATGAGTGAAATTTGACCGGAATTTTTGACTTGTGTAATTTAATATTACCGCATGTGTGATGTGTTTGAAATCAGGATGTATTTAATTTCAATCCAAGATTTATTAAATTCATAGTGGCGAAGAAGAATCCACCCTTTTGCGAATTCTGTATAATCAAAACAAAGCGCAATAACCAATCTATATTTCAATTTTCAAGACGGATCGATACAACTCCTCTACCACCCCTCCCAGATAAGAATTTAAATTTATCATGCAAAATCTCCCTACGAGTAAAGACCCTGGGTACGAGGTGAAAAATGTAAAAATCTGTTCATGCCTTATTGCAAACCTTCTACGATCTATTTGAAATAAATAAACAGTCTCTATTTCACCCAGATCGCAGAAGTTTTGCAATATATATGGCACGAACAGATTTTTACATTTCAAACTTAAAGAAGCATCTTACCTTTTTTTTTTAGAAAACACTAGTATAGTGTTTAAAAAACACTAGTATGTATGTCAAAAGTTTTAAGATTTTAACATTTCAAATTTTGAAAATGAAAAATTCAAAATTTTGAAATTAAAAAAAGATGAAAAATTTATATGTCAAAACCTTTGGAAAATTTTGGGAAAAACTAGCATAAATAATACCAAAGTGTGTAAATGCGCTAAAGATTAAAAAATGCGTTCATTTATTTATGTTAAAAAATAAAACTAGTACAGGATATGTTGTAATTCTGGATAATAGAAAATCATTCTAAATTATATAAAAGCATATTTGCAGTGATTCTCATTGAACATGCGTGTTTATGTAAGAAAAGTTTTAAAAAACTGAATGTGCGAAATGCGTGAGAATCCCGTTTAACTACAGAGTGAAAAGATACATATAAATATTAAAATTGGTTCCATGGTTGCCAACTAATTTATTAGATTAAAGTCTAGAGAGTAAATTACTAAAGCATGATTCAACAACGTAGAGAGTCAATTTTACGTTATGAAGCAAAGGAAAACAAGTACTTGTATAGGTTTGTATTTAAAATAACTTAGTTGGCAAATGGCCTTTATGGGCGAGCTTGCGAGAAATGCTATATCTGTTATTGGTATATATTTAGGTGTAATATTCTTTCATCACTTGGCGTTCTTCGTACTTGGGTGCTGCTATTGAAGTTACTCTTCCCATCGGTATCTCATCTTCTTCAGGCAAATATTCCACTGCCCTGGAAAGTCTAATAATTAAACAAAATATTTGCTTTTAGACCTCGTTTATGGAAATTTCTATTTAAAAGATGTATATTTCAACAACGAACGGAAAAGAACAATAATTTCGGTCGGCTTCTGGTGTGCTGCTTGCAGTTCAAGTTTGTAGAAATGTTCTTTATGCTGCAGTGTTTGTATTGCAACTTTTTTCCTACCCCTTTCCTTTATAATACGATACCATTCAGGTACCATACTATTCAGGAATATTTTTACACGAAAAAGATACTCATTCCTTTTAAACCTTGTTCAAATCTGTTCAACAATTTACAAGCACTTAAAAATTACAAAAAAAAATGCGACTTACGTCGTACACATGGCAATCAAAAGAACAAAGGTCACAAAAAAGCAAAGCGCCAGGTAAGCAATCATAGCGATAGTCAGTGATTTCACCAGCTCAAGATCCTCATCATTGACTAAAAGCGAATAATAAAAAATAATTAGTCGCATAAAAAAATTAATGAAGGCAATTTAGTCGTTCACGCATCAAAGCACTGTAGAAAGATCGTCGAAGTAGTATATATATTTAGACGGAAAATTGTAGGATCAGCACATTATATACCACCTCAATTTATAAGTAAATTTTTAGGGCGATCTGGATATTATTAAATATCGGTCGTGTTCATGTCAAGGTGGCTGATGTGTGATTTATTTACATGCAAATGTGCATTCACCAATGACCGATTTGAATATCGAAATATTACGGCTAAATACGGTTAATCAGTAAAAGTGGAATAGATATAAAATATACAATTATTGTTCGTCTTGTTTCTAAATGTGCTCATCAGCAAATTTTACAATACACAATGAAGATGAACAATACATACCAAAGTACATTGGTGGCTTCTCAGCTGTAAAAAAGTTAGATGACATGATTATGATTTAAGTTTCAAATACACGACATCCATGCAACATCCATGCATGCAATCAATTAATTTCCCTTTGAATTCGTGCGAATAAAACTATCTTATATCCCACAATACCTTCGCAAGTAGGTGGTGTTCCTTCAAAACCAATGTCACATTCACATCGATACGACCCGGCTAAATTTATACATTTCGCCCCTTCGCCACAGTCAGGAACATGAATAGTCGATGCAGGGTTACATTCATTGTAGTCTGTTGAGAAGCAATTACATGACGCGTGGTTAATATACATGACATTAGTTATCCAATCACAGGCAAAAATGTTTTATTTCCAAGTTTATTTTTGTCAAAAAAAATTTCCTCTTAGAATAGCAATGTTCGTCGTATATTCGTTTTATACAAAATTACATATGAGTGATTGGGCAAGTCGAGTTTTTAAAACACGCCGCTCATTGTGATGACATTATATTCCCTTTTTTCTGATTTTTCATTCTTAGCAAAATTAATATATTTATCTAGCCGTACATTTATTCCGCCAGTTTAATCTGAAAAAAATACCAGATATGGCTTCTGCCCTCACGGCAATGCATCAGTCTCGTTACCCATGCAGGCGCTTCAATAGAAAAATATATAACCTTGCATTCAGTTATTACATGGAGGTCAGTTGATAAATTAAGGCGAGCACGAGGGTTGTTAAGCCGGTTTTCCACAAGCGATATTTTTCGTGCGTAGCGACATTTTAGATTTTCTGGAATCGACAGTCGATGGGCTAGTAAGTAATACGAACGTTTCTTTTGCCGAAGAATCATCTGAAGGTACTTATATTCGAATATTTTTCCGAGTTGCAAAAAAAATTGCACTGTGTAACATGGCCTTAACTGTTGCCGTTTCAGCAACGATGCCGTTTCAGCAACTACGGCAGTGTGCAACGTTAAAAGCTACGTTTTCTTCTGTTGTCTTTTAAAAAGGATCAATGCCATTGTTAATAAGGACGTTGCGGTTGCCGTAGCCGTTGTATTTTCCAAACTTACTAATAACCGAATGCAACGTTATCGCCGAGCGATAAATGGGAAGTTAAATGGGAAGATTTTGTATTTTCATGTTTTTTTTTCATGTTTGATATGTGGATTTATAAACAAATGTATGCATGACACCTCTTTGAATTTATTCGCCAATTTCGTTAATATTATTTCAGTTGCATGGGAAAGCATTTATTTTTAAAGGTGAAACTGTTTAAAAAGGAATTGAAATTTCGCTAAAAATTGTAGTATGTAAAACTATTCGTTGCACATTTAGTTTATAGATAGCTCGAGAGTCGACTTTAAAATTGTACTTGATATAGGATTACACTTATACGACTTTGATCCAATCACTCGGCAGAAATGAGTTTTATAGAATTCCACTGTTGAAAATATATGTTTATTGCTTCGGATGAGGGGATTTTGCATGCATGTATTTCTAGTATATTTTACTATTAAAGCGCCTGGGTACGAGGCTGGCAATGTACTAAATAAATTTGAAGCCCGGGAAGGTATTATTAGAAGTTGGTATATAAAACAACTTTGTTGCATGACTAATTATGCTACGCGTCTTATTCGGCAGAAAATATTCAAACGTAATAAGGAAAATATCGAATTACTCAAGGCCAGAAAAATTGTGAATAAATCAATTCGGAAATTTTTTTCAAAATTCTATCGATTTATCTAAGCACGTTTAATGAAAGAGACGAACCTTCATATTCTACTGGAATGCTCCCGTTTAGTCTAAGATTTCCAAGATAAGTTCCAGTGTTGTTGTTAATCAGGTTTGTTTGGATGGCCTTTTCAGCATCCTCAAGAGTCACGTTGCTCCCAGATTGGAACGTCGCGACGTATGTGGCTTTAACCGATCCTTGCCTATTTGTGTAAAATGAGTTAATAGGTTACGTTGATAATGACATTGTTTTATACACTGTCTAGCCAGAAACTCCATCACAAGAATACGAGATATTTTCGGCATTTAAGTCATCGTTATAGCTACATATAGATGTTAGAATTCCGAAAAACAACATCCGAAGCAACATCCTAAGAGTGGAAGGTACTCGCTTTACTGCATGCACATATATCAAATTTGTATTTAATCCTCTTGTTTCAGGATTGTTTTTTATTTTGCTGTTTCAGGATTGCCTTACTTTGCATGCATGGGCATTGACCATGCATCAATAAAAACACGCGATTTACTATTCAAACTTGTTAATATTTGTTTTAATTTCAGTTTTAACAATATTATACTGCACGGAATTAAGATTTTTAAATTTCAAGCGTTCTTTTGGTATTTTTTTCATATTACGGAGGGTGACAGGTGAACTATAGAGTGAAAAAACGAAATTTTACTGAGGAAAAGTGGTGCAGAATAAGACAATCCCGCACGAATTAGGATACGAAATAATTTACCATCCATGCAGCACGAGAGAACTAGCTAGCCACTTTATGGTTTCCGTTTTTGGAGCGCATGATCACAATTAATCACGGGGGAATTTTGCGAGAGTTAAAATTGGTAATTTAGCTACAATGCCATGACCAGCCGACAATTTAAAAAAGTAAAGTAAAAGGCAAATTCCAAATAAAAAAGACATTATGAGAATAAAAATATAATTCCAACAAAACACAGATTAAGACTGTAAATTTTCGACCTTATTACAAAGTCATCTTAGACAGAGACTTGTAATAAAGTCGAAAATTTACAGTCTTAATCTGTGTCTTGTTTGAATTATATTCTGATTCTCAAGATGTCTTGTTTATGCGGAATTTGCTTTTTACTTTAGCTATAATGCCTTAACCACCTTTTAAATAGTTAATAATTAGAATAGTTATTAAGTAGTAGTTCCAATGTGCACAATTCTTACTGGCCAATTTTGCCGTAAAATAAAACTATCTAGAATTGTAACTATACATTTCATCCAATCGTATATGCAATCACGCAAATCAATAAATCTATTTTAAAATATTTGGAAAGTTTAAATTGAGATAGACGCAAATAGGTCTCCTATTTGCACAGGCACCGAATGATGTATTTCATCGCTTAGCAAAAGTTTGAATGCCACCCATTTTACAAAGTTTCGGAAAATGTTGGTATGATAGACAAGCAAGTACGATTTGAATCACATAAAATTCTCTTACCTAAACCCTGTAACTTGGGAACCTGTGTATTGACTTCCGAGGCTACTCCCAAGATAAACATTATTAATCTATTAAAAAGAAATAATTCTTAACTGCATATTCTAACAACATGATTTCCTAAATTCAACTTTCATTTTAGCAAGACCATAGTTAGTATTACGGAACAGCTACCTCCTCCGCATGCCCTTTTCCGGGCAAATAAGGTGGGCGGTGATATTTTCTGCGTAGAAGGTAGACGGATCAGTAAGTAAACACATACAGGCATCACTATAGATATGCGTCAATTTAAACATCCTAAAATACTTTTGTAGTTGTAGCAGATAAAATATTTCAAAATACCAACCGCAGTTTGAATTTCAAAGCTACGAGTGAACCAAAGAAGACTGTTGGGAATGAGAAGGTCGCCATTAAACGGGATAAGGATGACAATTACAAATTGATATGATATGACGTCTAAAAATAACAATAACAATAACAATAACAATAACAATAAAAATAGCAATAGCGATAGCGATATAGCGATAACGATAACGACAACGACAACGACAACGACAACGACAACGACAACGACAACGACAACGACAACGACAACGACAACAATAACAATAACAATAACAATAACAATAACAATAACAATAACAATAACAATAACAATAACAATAACAATAACAATAACAATAACAATAACAATAACAATAACAATAACAATAACAATAACAATGACAATAGCAATAACAATAACAATAACATGTACTATCGTAACGCCGCGTAACGCACTGTTCCCCTATTAAACTGAATTTAAAACTAGGAATTTTCATCAGTATTTTACTGTAAAATTCCCTCGTTTAAATAAATATCAGAAATATGCATGTATTTCCAGAATATTGGTTGAATGTGGTCTAATTTTTAGTGGACAATTGTTAATAATATTCTTGTACGTTTGCATGGTTACACCAAATATTAAGTAGATTAGTTTGTAGGCTAATGTTGCATTGGAGAGTGTAATAATAAAGGATTAATGCACTCTGCGAGTGCACTATCGGGTTTTACATGCACGAGTTACGAACAAGGAACGAGGAATTCAATTATTGAACTTCGAGTTCCTTGTTTGTGAACGAGAGCATGTAAAACCCGATAATGCACAAACAAAAATTGCTTTTATGCTTTTAATATTCATTTTGAGTAAACTCGTAAAGACTTTATATCATTTTTAAACTTAACTAAACAACACATGCTTATCTTTAAATAGTAAAAACACCGCAAGCGGTTGCCCGTTTAGTATTTTTCGGTGTGGATTCATCTATAATTACATTAATCTCCTCTTCGTTCTCTTCGCTAAGTTCGGCAATTTTTTGTTTGTTGCCGCCATTTTGATAGTGCAATAAATCTTATAACGGCACTGCCGTGGCGTGGTTTGCTATATAACATTCACTCACGTGGTACAAATCGACCAATCAGAACGTAAGTTTACAGAAAATTAATATTAACAGGTTTTGTGTATTGTCTTGAGTGTTATAACAATGAGCCCAAGTTAACGGACCGAAAGCTTTACAGTAAAAAATACTTACATGGTGTACCTACTATTAAGCTAATTTACTCATTGGATTATTATTAAGCTAAAGAAATCAATGCACCATTTCCCTATTAAACCAAACATAAAACTAGGAATTTTTATCAGGATGGCTGTAATAAGCATCCCAAAACTTGGTAAAATACGAAAGCTAAATTGGTTGCGAAAAGTTGAAAAATACGAAAAATATATCACGGTGCGAAGTTAGCACATTTTGTATAAAACAGTATTATGCATGTTCGAAAAAGTGCTACCACAAAACAATCAACAGTTGAAAGATCACCTCATGCACAATGCATCTATACGATTACAAGTTTATAAATTCCGCAAAAATAGCAGTGTCTCCTGTTAGAGTGAGACGGAAATACAAATGTATAAACTCAAAGGTACATGGAAGTAGCGCAAGTGAAGCTAACATATATATTACTCCTTGTAGGTGATTAATCAAAGTCAAATGAAATCTACATAAACACTGACATCGTTCGGGATGATATGAAATTCCTGTCAGTATGTTTTACTCTCTCCAAGCCGGAAAATTTGAAACGTTAATTTAAAAAAAAATAAAGAAAAGAGGCTCACTAGAGGCACACTAACTGTATATTAAATTCTTTTCAAATATTGACAAATAAAGGCATGCACCAAGGCAAAAAAAACAAAAACCTCTGGAAAATACACGAGGATTTATAGTAAAAAAACTTGCAGTACACACCCAGAAACTCGTGATACGTTTATAAACAGCTCGTGAATCGCTAATTTGTACGACCGGTTTTGTTAACGTCTCAGTTGTTTCGCACACATTCCAACCCTATTCAACGTCGCTGCATTTTTGTGAAAACAAACTCCGTCGTACTTTTCAATGATGCGAATGAAAAGCGCAGCAAAAATATAAAAAGTTCAATATTTTGGTTACCATATGCTGCGACGATATGCTGCAACAGAATTAAAAAAGTTTGTTTCCTTACCTCGACATTGCTTAGTTATTTCGTTGATTATTTGTCTTGGGCTTTTACAGTAACATCGGAATTCTCCAGGATAATTTTCACATGTTTGGTCAGAAGAACAACGAGATGGGTCTAAGCATTCGTTCACATCTATTTGAAGAAGTAGAATTTCATAGTATAATGAATATATATGAATAATTATAGAACAAAATATTTCGACAACGCAACGTGGAGTTAAAGAAGAATAATTAAGTGAAGGTTTAATTTTGACTGATTCATATCAATTTGATCACATTTCTAATGTGCAGCAACTGAGAGTAAGAAGGTGTTCTTGTTGGTCCGTATACAGATACATGCATGCGCATGTCACGCAAGAATGCAAGTGGAAAAGATAAACAATTCATTGAAGAATTAAATCTGCTTTAGAAAATTGGCAGAATAAATCCAGTGAATAAAACTTTAGTCCTGTATTTAGGATTTTGACAAATATACTGTAACAATAAGCTTGATCTGTTATTTTCCTACCAGCACATGTCTTTCCGTCGCCGCTGTAACCATCGTTACATTTACATTTATATGAGCCTTTTGTATCAGTACAAGTCGCGTTGCTATCGCAAGGAGGTGGGGACTGAGAACATTCATCAATATCTATTCAAAAATGATTAAAACATGTTAAAAAGGACTGGTATAAATTCCATAAAGCACACGTGTGAATAATGAAGGGGTTAATTATAAAAACACGAAGCATCCCCATGTAAACATGCATCCACAAATAGTCCTGCGCAAGGGGACAGAGGAGGCTTACATTCATCAATATCTAAAGAAGTAATTGGGACTGAAAACATTCATCAATATCTACACAAATCATGACAACATGTTGAAAAAGGACTGGTATAAATATCATAAAACACGCGTGTGAATACTGAAGGGCGGAGGGATAAAAACACGAAGCATCCCTATGTAGAAAAATCAAATAGTCTTGCGCAAGCGGTATTCCACCACAACAGCAACATAGGCAAAATAGTTTACTGAAGGCGTCGAAAAACACTTCACCAGAAAAGCATTTTTGACACCAGGTATGGTTGTTTGTAGATTAGAACATAAATCATTGCCGCAAAATATCCCTTCCAGTAATTAACCCAATGTTATAAAGCTAAATGGATTGGAAACGTCTTTTATCGTAGCATATTTATAGCAACAAATCAAATTTGTAAAATGAAAAGCGCGTTTTCATCGCGGGAGCATAATCTGATAGGCAATTCGGTATCTTTTTCAGCTATTAGAATAAGAAACATTTACTTTCTTGTGTTAAGCCTTCTTGAATATTAAATGAGAAAAAGCGGTTCCTTACTCGTACAACTTGTGCCATTTCCGGTGAAACCTTCTTTACAGGTACAGGTGAATGAGGCAAGTTGATTAATACAAGTCGCATTATCATGGCAATTGTGAGTGCCCGCTTTACATTCATTGATATCTAGAAATAAAAAACATGTCATATCAGTGACAATCGTGTAGCTAAACCACCCCCAGGTTTCAACTGGAGATTGAAATGGGATTATCCCATGCAGGGGTGGATCCAGCGCTAGTGCACTAATTTGCATTACACAAGAAACTGCTAAAAATAACCACTTTGTTTTGTAATGCAAATTAAAGCACCAGTGCTGGATCTACCTCTGTCCCATGGATAAACACTTCATGCAGTTAAAGCATTGAGTACGTCTATAGTTTTACAGAAAAAACAAAAGATATGTTGTGTAAGACCAGATTTCTATTCAAATTTAAAAATGTTTGTCTATTGTTACATACGGGAACATTCCTTCAAGTTGACAGACGTTGATCACTGAAACTGTGTCTTTGTAGTAAAACGTACTAACGTTCTTTAGTTTGTTTAACATGCAGACAATAATTTTATAAAAACCAGTTCAAACGGGTAATTTTTGCGCTGATTTTTTCTGTAGATCAGTGTGATGAAATGAATAAGTTACGGATATTTAAAAAAGAACGCTTACATCACATGCAGGTCTCATATAAAATGTGTTCAAAGAGCATTCAAATTTCTTCGCTCGTCCTCATTCATCGTAAAAATTGCAAGTGTGAACGGGTTTTCACGCCTTACTTTTCAACATAAATGATTAATTTTATATTGTATTCAATTTTGGTTATTTTCCTACCAGTACATGTCTTTCCGTCGCGGCTGTAACCATCGTTACATTTACATTCATATGCGCCTGTTGTATCAGTACAGGTTGCGTTCGTATCGCAAGGAGGTGGGGACTGAGAACATTCATCAATATCTATTCAAAAATGATTAAAAAATGTTAAAAAGGACTGGTATAAATTCCATAAAACACACGTGTGAATAATGAAGGGGTTAATTATAAAAACACGAAGCATCCCCATGTAGACATGCATCCACAAATAGTCCTGCGCAAGCGGTATTCCACCACAACAGCAACATAGGCAAAATAGTTTATTGAAGGCGTCGAAAAACACTTCACCAGAAAAGCATTTTCGACACCAGGAATGGTTGTTTGTAGATTAGAACATAAATTATTGCCGCAACATATCCGTTACAGTAATTAACCCAATGCTATATAGCTAAATGGATTGGAAACGTCTTTTATCGTAGCATATTTATGGATCTTATTCAAAGTGTTGCAAAGAATACTGCTTAAGCGAAGCGAATGATGACGTAGCTACATCATAAAAAAAATTTTGAACGACCAATCTTTTCAATTTTTATCAATAAAGTAGTTTAATTACTAAAATATTTCATTCATAATTTTCATCTCGGTTTTCACACTTCTACCAGAGCATGTTTTTGTACGAGTATCGTACGCAGTATTTCCCTATATTTATTCGGATTTTAGAATTATTTAAAAAATTGCTCACTGTTACAAGCTGTGCGGCCATCTCCACTGAAACCATCTTGACAACCACAGGTGAATGAGCCAGGTACATTAGTACAATTTGCATTATCAGCATGGCAATTGTGAGTGTTCTCAGAACATTCATTAATATCTAAAAATGAAATATATTTGATAGAATTGCCAACTATGGAAACAAGTTCCGAGTGTTAACAAGGCCTTACTAATGAATGGCACTACTAACGAAAGAAATACAATGTGCGAATCAAAGGTGCTATATTAAAATTTGAAAATATGTTAATGTAATAAATTTAATGCAGGAACTTTAATCCAGGTTGACCGGAGTTAATTAACTTAAACATGTTACAGACAACAATATAAACAACAACTTTCTAAGCCTACAACTTTTTACACGGACAATTTTAGCTGCAATTTTCTTTTTTCGATCAATCGCTCTGGGAATCGTAGCAAATAATGCAAGGGTAGACGGACTTTCTACTCTTCATCGCGTCTCAACATCAATAAAAGAATAATTGAGCTGCATGCACAATAAATGTTTTTAAATTTAACAAGCAACAATAATCTGTTATTTTCATACCAGTACATGTCTTCCCTTCGCCAGAGAAACCATCGTTACATTTACATTCATATGAGCCTTCTGTATCAGTACAACTCGCGTTGCCATCGCAAGGGGAGCGCTGACATTCATCAATATCTAAAGAAGTAGATGCATGATTACGACATATTATAGACTTGCCTTAAAACACACGTGTACCACGTGCAATACTAAAAGTTTAATAAAAATAGATGTCAAAGTATACGTTTTGATGAATATTTCGACGCTTTAAAGGTCCGTTAATTCATGGTTACGTTTTGTCGGATCCAATTATGAAATGTTGTGTTTCGCTGATAAGAAAAGACCGTAAATCATCCATCAGAAGTGAAATGGATCCAACGAAATTGGATCGTGTAAACAAACCTCAGGTTTGATCATTCCTGGGACATTATAATTATTATGTACAACAAAACTACGTTCAATATTGTAGCAATAAAGTGTATTATTTATGAAATGTATGAGCAGCTAGCCTCTGAGTACAGCATGCAATACTGCAGTATTAATATCTACTTAATTCGCCTTCTCAAAATTAATATCAAAATGTTCTTACTGTCACAATAAGTGCCATTTCCAGTGAAACCTTCCTTACAGACACAGGTGAACGACCCAGCTGGTTCATTTGTACAAGTCGCATTATCATGGCAATTGTCAGTGTCATCAGAACATTCGTTTATATCTAGAAATGAAATATATATTATTTCTACAGTAATTGCGGCAAATGAAGAATTTAAATGGTACGTTTTGAATCGGATTGAAAATGATTCTGCCTCTATACACATTCTGCCTCTTTTCACATTGCATCTATAGTTTATTTAGTCTGGGAGACATCAAATGTATACACTATACATACTCTTTTACTTTGAAACGAATAACTACCAACCTGTGCAAACTACACCATCTCCGTTAAATCCGTCCTTACAAGTACAGTTGAAAGATCCAATCGTGTCAGTACACGTTGCGTTGTCATGACAATTATGAGTATGTTTACATTCATTAAAATCTACGACAGAATTATAGCACAGTTAATAGGTAACAAATTTCATTGTGAACATTTGTTACGATATTTAAAAACAAATAGAGACTCTCCTAGTATGCTTTCAACTAGTATTAATTGGAACGCAAATCATAATTAACAAATGTTTGAAACTATACTCCATTTCCAGGAACGTAGTTTGACCGCTTTATTGGTCTGGGGTGCATATTTCTGTATTCATGTTTACAATAAAACGCATGAAAAATCGCTATCGAGAGAAATCAGTCGGAAATAAGACGAATATTCATGCACCCCAAAAATTAAGCTTCTGACTATGCAAGGCCCTGTCTATTTCCTTGGTTTAATTGCGTATCAGGGGCCGGTTGTATGAAAGCTGGATAGCGCTATCCACCGGATAGTGGTTTTTTCAATCGCTTCAAAATCGCCCGTTATTTGTCACAACTTTGATTAAATCTCAGTATTCCTAAATCGAGGATCCTCTTTAATAATTGTTGCTTTCAAGCTAAAATTTTATCGCTTTTCGAGCATTTTTAGAACGGTTGAAAAAATCACTATCCGGTGGATAGCGCTATCCGGCTTTCATACAACCGGCCCCTGATGGTCAATAATCAAAAAATTAATATAAAAAACATTCTCAGTAGTTAGTTTAATAATATCCCGGATAAAATAGTAGTTGAACTACATTGCAGTTACTAGTTACTATCGTTGTTTTGTTCAGTCAATGCCCAGCAAGGAAATATGCTAATAATAACATAGAATAACGGGATATTAAATGTGGGTGTAAATCGAAATTTCAATCTCCAGGATAGACGGTAAAAATAAAGCTGGAATTTTAAAAGTATGTCTATAGTCACATTTTTTGGACATTTTAAAGCCGTATGTCGCTTGATTTACCACAAACCCCAGAAGGCCACGAACACTATATTATTATGCACGATCTATGTTCATATTTCTTAGCGATAAATAGATGTAATATATGAAATATTCAATGGTATGATTTTTATATAGCCTCTGAGTTCAGCAATCCTGCATTATTTAGGGGGGTGGGTTCAAGCGGGCTACAACCCCCCCTCCACTCTGTCGAGGAACTATAGCCCTCTTGTCAATTCGTCGGTGAATGAACAACAGATATAATTTGAATTTCGATAGTTGTTTTTGGATTGAAGCCTTCGGCAGTCAGCACTCAGCATTTAGAAGACCAGCTTCTGCCTTCTAGCCCCCCGAGTCGGGGACCTTAGCCTCTGTGTCGGGGAATTTTTGGCGCCACCCATGTTATTTAGTCGACTTAGCCTTTTCAAATAAAAAAACTTACTCTCACAATAAGTGCCATTTCCAGCGAAACCCGGCTTACAATTACAGGTGAATGACCCAGCTGGTTCGTTAACACAAGTCGCATTATCATGGCAATTGTGAGTTTTCTCAGAACATTCATCGATCTCTGGTAAATAAAAAATATAAATATTCTATTACCAACTGGGTATAAAGGACACGTTATGCACCGATTAATACTCCAGTTTAATTATGCATTGCATCAGTCTAATGGTTTTTAGAACGGCGGGAAGACAACTGATGTATTCCCGTAGGCTAATTTGCGTTCTCTAATAATTTAGAGTTGAAGAATCAATTACTGAAAAAAAATAATAATGTTTTAAATAAAAGGATTTGGTTATTTTGGGTTGATTTTATATTTGTGTTATAGATATAAAATGTGCTATATTAGTAGTTAATATACAATCTTCGTGCATTGGCCTAAATCTACTCACGCGATTGGTCAAAATCAATCACGTGGTTTCTTGTTGCCTGGCGACAGATCATGAAAATCGTGGTTTATTCGCAATAACCCACGAAAATCGTGGTTTATTCGCAATAACCCAAGAAAATCGTGGTTTATTCAAAAATGACAGCCTGCAGCGAAGCTTAAATCTTCAATGCAGCAATCAATGAACTCAGATTGTATATTAAAAGTGTTAGAGACTTTATGTTCGTGTTTTGTTTACAAATAAACGCACTTGCTGACCATACAATGAACTCGAAATGTCAATATTGCACTCGGCCTACGGCCTCGTGCAATATTGAAGTTTCTCGTTCATTGTATGGTCAGCGCGTGCGTTTATTTGTCAACAAAACACTCACAACAGTCTCTAACCCTTAAATGTAAAAATGAATTGTGCGTGGATCAATTTGAGTTTTTTTGAACTTGAAGGAGTCGTATTTCTGCATTAGTATAATTATTTGTATCTTCAGCAATTCCCAATTCATTCGTATATCTTCAGCAATTTCCAATTTTTCCAATATCCCGGATATTAAATTATAATAATTCCACTGGTAAATTATACACCGTTTATTACTCATGACTTTTACTGCTTAATATTTTGCCATATTTTGTAGTGTTTACTTGAAAAGATATTTGTGTTAAATGAATTTGATATGAATTCTATTGTTGAACAACGATTTGATTAGAAAGAATGATTTTAAACTAAGATGTATATATAATCTCTAGATTTCAATGACCAGCATATTTATGCTATTGTACGTTTATTGCTTGACGTTGAATGCCTTTAGACGATAAAGAATGGTTATGCATATTCTAATTTTGGAATTCAATATGTGCTTAATGCAATTCGCTGTTAAATCCGCCTACATTCATACTTCACACAAATGATACCTCGTTTTATCGTTATGAGTAAGAGACGGTGTAGTAAATTATTTTGCTTTCGTTTACCTTCACAATATGTGCCATTTCCAGTAAAACCTTCATTGCACGCACAGGAGAAGGAACCAGCCGTGTTGTTGCACGAGGCATTGCTGTGGCAATAACCAAGGCTGCATTCATCTATGTCTAAGGTTGAACAGCGGTAAATATAATTTGAATTGAACGAGCATTTCTTAGCACTCGTGTGACAATAATTTAGGGGAATGATTGATTTAAACAATGAGCATAACGCGATATTTAACGGGTTTTTCTATTAGAACTATACCGATATAGCATAAGGAGAGCATGATAAAACTCCAAACATCTGTCAATTGAACCATGCTATACACAGAGTTGCCTTAATAATATGGGCAAAAGCGGCACAGGAAATTATTTAATAGTTTTTCTCAAACCGTTTTAAAGCATGCATGCGTAAAAGCATTTTTTTACCTTCTTTTTCGATCTACTAAAATATTTTTGGAAACTAATTTCACAATAAACAAATCTGTTTCGGAAAAATCTGCCTGTCGAGGGAATGAGCCAAACAGTGGTCTCACCTTGACAGTCAAAGCCGTCACCGGAATATCCTTCATTACACGAACAATTATAGGATCCAACAGAGTTATGACATGTGGCAAAATCATCACAATCATCCTCATCAGAGTGGCACTCGTCTGTGTCTAAAATCATAAATACAACAATGATAATTAGCATATATTCGCGACATTTTCTTTTTCTTTTCCCATGTGGTCTTAAATAGGTTTTAAGGGACAAAAAAATTATCATTTTGGTGACCCTGTGTGACCCTAATTTTATAATTTCATAAAAGAGTCATCTTTGTAGGGAAATCGAATTAATAGTTGGTGTTAATAAGGTGGCTGCATGGTGTATGATTACGTCGGACAAGGTTGGGAGCTGGGGCTGACATTTTACGATGCCTCTGCTCAGTTTGATTCATCCAGTGATATCTAAAGACCTGTGGCAGTTTTCACACGGAAAGTTGCCACAAAAGAGATCCCAGATATAATGTGAAGCCTGGACTGTCATCCCCAACGACGTTTTTCAAAAGAAAGTTCCTCAATGGCAGTTACTGATCTCTTACCGTTACAATTTGTTCCGTTTCCATTGAAACCTTCTTTGCAGTAGCATGCAAAAGATCCATAAGTGTTGTTGCAAGTGGCGTTCATGTGACAGTCATTCAGATTGTAAGAGGAACACTCGTCTACATCTGCTCGAGAAAATGAATAATTAACTATTTTAAGATCACTGTTTATTATTCTATGGTAACATCATTAAAGCATTCGGTTGTACAAACAAATTAAAATGCGTGTTTTAATTAATATTATTTAAAAACCGCTATAGTCATTAAAATCGTTTTCTGTGAAACGGAAACGATTTTTGTGGTAATCTGTGAGGCACAGAAGAGCGGCAATTTCGTCTTATGTGCACACTATAATGTAACGTCACTATTTCAGCAGTACCTTTACAGTATGTGCCATTCCCTTCAAAACCATCATCACAGGAGCAGTTGTACGAACCAATAGTATTTACACAAGTTGCATTTCGATGGCAATCATTCTGTTCACTACATTCATTGATATCTGAAAGAAAGGCGGAAAGAAATGCAATCAACTGTTCATCTTTTTCTGATTATTGTGACGGGATTTAGGATACTACCATTACAATGCATTGATTAATCTTTGCATTAGTGAAGATGAAATATGTGTTATTTTGTTTCACATATAACGTGAAGCGTCTATTATTTGGTGTCCCTACTACTGTAAAACTCTATAACTAAGACTCTATTATATTGGTCTCTCAATCTATATATAGACTGTTAACCTCGCAGATATTGAACGAAATGTAGAAGCGGTGGTAATGAAAGCGAGAAATTAAATCTCTGTTATACCCAGAGGCGTGGTGAATAAGCTAGTAGGATTGGGGTCTGTTCATATGATACCGACCAACTTCCATGATGAGAAATGTCTAACTTTTCCATACTAGGTTTTTTTATATCTTTGGATATATAAACTGATCAATATATAATTAATTAAATTTTAGAAACCTAATGACATCTGAATGACAGCTGTGATGCCGAGAAGTGAGAAAAGTTTTCAAATTTTATGTCACACCCCTCCGCTCCGGCTCCTTGCCCCTGCTAATAACATTGTCGGCTAATACTGTAAGTTACCTTGACATTCATATCCATCACCAGTAAAACCATCATAGCAGCTACAATTGTAACCACCCTTTGTATTTGTACACGTAGCATTGCCATCGCAATCATCCGTTTCCAGATCACATTCATTAAGATCTGAAAAATTTATAATACATTCTCAACAACATTTTCGAAAAAGAGAAGAAAGAGAGAGAATTTTGCTTCACAGAGAAGCCAACAGTCATTCGGTATAGGAAATAACTAGGAACATCATTGCAGGTCCAATCACAACAAGAAAGGTAGTAAAATAAAAAAAAGGCTAGCGAAACCTATAAAATTTTCCTCTTTGTTTTTAAATGAAAAGCCAGTTTTCTTTTTCTAATGAGTCACGCCTGTTCTCGGAGGTGTAGAAAACGGCGTAGGCGTAGAAATTTTATGCATGCTGTCAAAAAGAAATATTTCGAAAGAATATTTTACATAAAAATCTACGAATATGATTGTAAATTAGAGCTGTAGCAAGTTATTCTACAATTGATCCAGGATCCGCCACTGGTTTTAAATACATAGCCTGTCATCTAATAATAGATTGGTAAAGTGTAACGTTCAAGCGCATCCAGCTATCGACTGGTGTATATAGATCCCAAACATCTCCCTGGTTTTTTAAAAACATTGTTTTTTTAAAAATGCATGAAAGATTCAAACCTACCTTCGCAGAATGTTTCATTCCCGGTGAAGCCTTTTTTGCATACACATTCAAACGATCCAATTGTGTTGTTGCAAATTGCATATTCGTCGCAAGGATACATTGTTGCATTACATTCATTTCGGTCTACAAAAAGATTGTGGAATATCGTTGTAAATGTATACATAAATATTGCGAGGAATACGGTCTTGCGGACGTACGGAGAAGAGTTGGGGTACATACGTCATACTTAGTAGGTTATCACTCTGGTTAGTGGAATATTTTCGTGCAAAGTGAAATTGCGAGAGCTTAAAACACAAGGAAATCTTGTTCATCTTTACCTTGGCATATGCTTCCATTTCCGATAAAGCCATCATTGCATGTGCACACAGGACGCCCAGTGACATTATTGCATGTTGCATTTACATCGCACACACTGTCATCTGTGCATTCGAGAAACGCTATTAAAAAAAATTGAGAAATATTTGTTCAATAAATTGAAAAAGGTTATCCTTGATCATTGAAATGTTGCGCAAATCATGCACACATTTTTAAATAAATATGCTTTGCGGCAATACAGATTCAAGTATCTCGGTCAGAAATTTGATCGTCTATGCGGGGTCATATGTACAGCCTCTAGTTTGAAACGAAAAGCCGTGCTCAAAACCAAAATCAAAACCAGAAATCATATTTCATAGGCTCTTACCATCACAGGTGACACCGTCACCTTTGTACCAAAAAACACAACGACAAATATACGATCCAATAGTATTCTCACAGGTAGCATTGACGTGACAAGGATTAGCTTCACATTCAATGATATCTGTAGAACAGAGACAATGTTTTCATATCAACATCATTCTTCATATATCAATAACTAAATGCTGTAAGACTATCTATTCATACCATCACAATAGGTCCCGTTGCCTGTAAAACCGTCCATACATTCACATTCAAACGATCCTGGTACATCTTCACAAGTGGCATTTTCGTGACATGGATAATCGTCAGACGTACAATCAATGATGTCTGAAACAAACATAAAAAAGACTTGGATCTAAGTTATAAGGCTCTTTTTACTTATCGTAACGGCCAAACTCCTCTGTTGATTTTAAAATATGGGACAAGAGTAAAAGGGTCTCATGACGTCTAAAGAGTCCGAAAGTATTGGAACTGGGCGTTCGTAGTTAATTTATAAAACTATCTATAATATCAATTTAAGTCATGCTTATAGGCAAGTTTTGATTCCAGTCAGTTGAATTTGAGTTTGAATAAGTTTGGTTTTGATTGATTAGGTCGAGATCAGAATTATACTCGTATACTGTTTAGTTGAATGGAAGAAAATTTGATTAATTGAACGAGGTTTCCATGACAAACTGATACAAATAATATGATGATAATAGGTTTTCACTCCTGGGGTCATTACATTTTCCATAGTTAAGTCCTTGTTAACTCAGAAATACATAAGTCAGATTGGCCTAATTCTATCCTTAACTACACCTAAAAGTTAACTAGGCTTTTATACAACTCCCCTGCAAGAGAATCAATAGTGGAGTTATTTTACCTGTGCAATTCACTCCATCACCAGTGTAACCTTCGATACATTCACAGCTATATGATCCGTAAGAGTTGCTGCATGTAGCATTGGCATGGCATAAACTAGCACCTGATTCACACTCGTTAATATCTTGTAAAGAAAAAAAAAGGGGGAAAATGGAAATAAATTTTAAATACAGCAAATTGATAAAAAAATGCCATTTATATCGCGCACATAAGTGGGGTAGGTACAGTGATACATTAATTATTTATATCTCTGGGGATTTACAGCTAACATATCACTAATGGAAATGGTATGATTATCTAAGAAAATGGTAAAGAATAACTTTTTTCTCTGGTGAAACACTCTTGATGACTAACTAGAGTAATATAGCCTCACAGAGCGGAACGTAGCGAAAATTACGCCAGAAATTTTGAGTTTCCAGGTTAACTACCTGTGCATACGCTGTTAAGTGGTTCTCCTTCAGTTCCTTCCATACAAGTGCAATTATAATATCCATCAGTGTTGGTGCAAGTTGCGTTGACACTGCAGTTGTTATCCATATCACATTCGTCAATATCTAAATACATGAACAACAGCTTGACATCGATATAGTTTTATGTTTATGTTTAACAACGCCAAAATTCAGGGCTTTCACAACTTATTTGCATATGACCGTCCTCATAAGGGGATGGCAATGACAAAAAAGAGAAACAAAGAACTTTTGAAAATAGTGCACAATAATTGTATTCTCTCAACACAAATTCTTCACTCTCTCATGGTTATCATTTTGAAAGAACCCCTGTCAAAATTGCAAACTTGTACATGTTATCGTTTGTTTATTACATTGGAGAGGTTGAGATACCCGGTTTCGGTATACAGGTACGGGTAGCCATATTTTGTTCATTAGAATTTCTTGTTGTTTGCACGTTTCATGATACAATTCATGCTCGCCTCAAGAGGCTAAAGTCTACTGGAAAAGAATTGTCGAGGTAATCTTCGTTGAACGAAATTCATTGAACAAAATAAGGTTACCCGTACCCGTATACCGGAACATCTTAACCTCTCTATTATGCACTTACAGAAAACCGGGAAGTGGTTTATGGACAAATGTAAACAGATAGCATTTTTTTCGATCTCAATGGAAAACCTCGTGAGCTCCGCCTTTTATGATCAACGTGTGGAGGTTATTGCGACGACAACAGATTAAACCATGAACATTTTTTCTGCATGCATGTATGACTGTATTAAATCTGAATTTTTTGCTTATTGCACACAATAACAAAATAGCAAGTATCACGAGATCCTCCTGCATGTTTGGAGAAATTTTCATATGTTCCCTAATGTCTTTATAAAGAACATAATATGTCGTGTTTTTGTTACTCACCATGACAATAACTGCCATTATGAAGATATCCTTTTTCGCACATGCATTCAAAACTACTTGGCTTGTTCGTACATATCGCGTTTTCCCTCGGGCAGAACGTTTCTGCACAACATTCGTCGTAGTCTAGAAAGTAGAGAAGTAGATAGTAAGAATAGTAGCTATAAAATTCACGTTAGTTAAGACGTCATTTTAGAAAGGACGAGGTTCTGCAAACACTCAGCAGGTATCGATCTTCGTTTAACTTAAACAGAATTATAAAGTCGGAAGATTTTTCATTTCGTCTGTCCTAACACTTTTCCAATAATAATCTAGCTGCACATGCTGTTTTTACGAAGAATCACCTAAACTTTATTTGAATAAATAAAGTTAAAATAAAGTTGAATAAACTTTATTTCTGTGATAGTAATAGAGGATAGAGGATATACTTACCAAATGCTACAATCACTTTCTGTGGGCCATCATTAGTTTGAGTACTATTTAACTTCATCCACGTTCGTTTGTCGTACTTGTCGATAGTTTTACCTTCTTTATACAACACGTAGAGATACCTATAGTCTTGTGCTAATTCAATTTCTCCGTTATAGCTGATGTTAAGATTCTGTGTTTGCTCAGTGTAGTATGTTCTCATCAGATTGTGCGTTTCTTTATCTTCATCAAAATTGTCCCAATACACAGCTTTGTTATCTTGATCAACGGACAACGCTTGGGCCGAACCATCGTAGTCTATTTCTTTTGTTGTTGATGATTGGGTATCAAAGAAAGCGATAGGAGGCTTCGATGATCTCGCAATTATCAGGTACCTAGAAAAATAGAAATAATCAGTGTCATAAACGTCTCAAAATGACTTGGAATGAAAATGAAAAAGAACCAGCCCCCCAGGCCACCTTCTTCTCTCCTGAAAACCTTCGACATTTATTGTTTACATAAGACGAAGGAAGTGCACCCAATTGATTAGTAATACTCTTTTTCGATACGATGCGAAACCTAAAAGTTGCATATACACTTACCCATGTTTTATGTCCATTTCCATCTCCTTGACTCCAGTGAAGGAACTCAACTCTTGAATAGACTTGTCATCTCCGCTGCTGACATTAAGTGAGTGGATAAAAGGGGTATATTGATGGACGTAGTACAGAATACCGTTCACGCCATCGTATGCATAGTTTACAACGCGAACATTATGAGTTACAACTTTCGATTCCGAGCAGTTCAGATCGGCACTGTATAAGATATTTCCAGAGTCAACATAATACAATATTCTTCTGTTGTGTTTGTCATAACTTAATTTACTATCAGAGGCTGAGATGTTACAGGCTGGGTAATGTGAGATGATCTCTGAGTCCGTCGAATAGAATAGCATTTCATCTTCACAGGTTTCTGAAAAAAATTATTACGACAACAATTAGAAAAATGAATTACGAAACAATTTGAAATAAAAATTACGACAAGAATTTTAAATACAATTTAAAATAAAAATTACGACAAGAATTTGAAATAAAAATTACGACAACAATTTGAAAAAAAATCACGACAACAATTTGAAAAATGAATTACGAAACAATTTGAAATAAAAATTACGACAAGAATTTGAAATACAATTTAAAATAAAAATTACGACAAGAATTTGAAATAAAAATTACGACAACAATTTGAAAAAAAATCACGACAACAATTGGAAAAATGAATCACGAAACAATTTGAAATAAAAATTACGGCAAGAATTTGAAATACAATTTAAAATAAAAATTACGACAAGAATTTGAAATAAAAATTACGACAACAATTTGAAAAAAAATCACGACAACAATTGGAAAAATGAATTACGAAACAATTTGAAATAAAAATTACGACAAGAATTTGAAAAAAAAAATACGGAAAATGAATTACGAAACAATTTGAAATAAAAATTACGACAAGAATTTGAAAAAAAAATTACGACAACAATTTGAAAAAAAAATTACGACAACAATTTGAGAAGAAGGACAACAATTTGGAATAGTAATTGTCTGGAGACAAAGGCTATTTATCAGACAATGCGGCAAAGGTATTTTATTTTATCAAAGAAAAAACAAGGGTTTACATCCCTGATCAAGCCAGGGTTTATACATTACAAGACTTGCGCTGCTAATAATTTTAATAGATTAAACTCAAAAATTTTAATTTAAATCAGCAGAGTTGTTTTGACATCAAAATAAAAAAATACCTGTGCAGTTCAACCCGTCTCCTTTGTATCCAGACCAACAACTACAGGTAAATGATCCCATATTGTTCACACAATCGGCATTCGGATGGCAGTAAGAACGATTACATTCGTTGATATCTGAATAAATAATTAGATATAAATAAAGCATTACTGATAAAATTAAATTATATTATAGGTGATAAAGGTGACTCTCTACAGTTTTTTTATATTGTTGAATGCACAATGAAAGTAGGCTAGATGCCTACTAAATGATTGAGTTGAATATTAGAGTTTTAAATACCATATGAGAGACAAAGTAAGAACAAAAAGCTATGCATAACTTGTACCTAGTAACCGTTGCTGTAACAACAGTACGTTTCAAAAAGAGTGCCATAATTATAAAGATCGCCCTTAAAAGACGAGCGAGTTCACTGACCCCCTAATCTCTTTTGTCATCAAACGTTCACCTTATAAATGGTTATATGTTTGATAGAAATTAAAAGCTTCATTATTTCCGGGCATTTTGAAATGTATATCGTGCTACATGCAACAAAAGTTGCTAGACGAAAGTGCTGGAAATCTTTTCGTTTTTGGAATGTTCCTGAAAAGGTGGCTTGATAGGAATATATTATGGGAAAGTATTCTTGTCTTCGAAACTCTTGACAGTGCAGCTTTGTCCTAGTTCATTACATATCCCTTGTGTTATTTCTAGCCATTGTGGCTTTTGGACAAAGGTGGAGGTTTCCACTTTCCAACAGAGAACTAATTAACGCACAGTAAAAAGTGAAATTAACAAAAGAAGCCGGAAAAAAAACAAAAACGACAGAAAAAATCAAATACATGCATTTCTTTCAATTCGCCTTTTTTATCACTTCTATTTTCCTTCTTCTACTGTTCCTTTATACTAATTTCTATAATTATCAATTTCCTGTTATTTACAACGTGTTTAAAAATACAGATGTTCAACAGCGTTTTGTGCTTTAACAATTTCCATAAATTGAAATTTTACGCAAAAGGGATTTTCCTAACTGGCTAGAACAGACTCCTCCCCACTGGTAGAATGTGGTGGCTAATACTGTTTTCCGTACTCAAGAATTAGCACCAGGAAAATTACACACTATGAAACGTTTAATAGGGAAAAATATGCCATCCATAATTTCTTCCTGCCGAGCCACCAAATCCAGGTTTTAAATGCTAGTCAAGCCAAACATTTAGATGCTTAAATTCCCTTTGAATTTGTGTATTTGAAATAATTTTTAGAAACTGAACGGAGCCACCTTAAGATAACATACTGTGTATATACATACCTTCGCAAACATCTCCCACCGCCTCAAAACCTTCATTGCAAGTGCACACAAAGCTTCCTGGAGTATTTGAACACGTGGCGTTCATATGACATGTGTTATTGGAGCAACATTCATCAACATCTAGATTGAAAAGCGGACTGATATTTTCCAAAAAATAAAAATTTTAGATAGCGACCTGCACCGCATGACAGACATGCTGGACTATGCTGTAAGGAAATAACCCGAAGTAAAACTGATGTAAAAATGTCAGGATAATTTCAAAACTGGCAGCCGTTGTTTAAAATTCTTGAAATTTTATTGCCGTGACTCACCCCTAGGTAACCGGTTAGGACCAACTATGGACAGCACGGTCCTGTTTTCCTTGCAATAATCAACAAATGCATTGCCATGCAGCAACTTACTTATCAGGGCGTTTTCTCTATGGAGAGGTGTTAGTAAATCTCATTGCGCACGGTTTGCTTGTTTTAAAAAATTGACAACATGATGATTCAGGTGTTAAATATTGACGGTAAATACAGTGGCGTAACGCAGCCACAGTGAAAACCGGTGAACCAGCTTTTTGAGGCCCCTTTTACTCGACTAGAAATAGGCTGAAATGGGGGTCCCTAAATTAAACTTGACACCCTGGTAGCCTCCAGGTACGCGAATGGGTGTATATTTGCTGAACAAACTTTAATTTTGGGGGATAAAAGCATTAGGTTTCCATTTTATAACTGGCATTTACATACCAAATGCAAGGATCAGCTCCTTGACATCTGCAACTAATTGGACTTCGCGGAGTTTCAGCGATGTTGTTTTGGAGTAAACGTCTATGCGATCGTTATCGGTAACCAATACATAAAAGTATTGACGGTTTACCACCACATGAATTTCTGTATTGTAGGTGATACCAAGATCTCTTGTGACGCCGGCAAAAGACGTGCATAGAAGTCTGAAGGTATTAGTGAATGAATCGTAGATTATCCAATATATCGTTCCGTCGTAAACAAAGAGCGATTGACCAGCACCATGATCGTAGCCAATTACACGAACTGAGCCCATATCATAGTCGTAAAGCACAAGGGATGTATTGGTTGAAGTCACAATAACAAGTTGACTTAAAAAGAAAAGAATGTATAAAAATCTGTATGCGTGGGGATATTAAGATCATTACTAAATGATCTCTTTGACCCTAAAGCTATATTAGAAGAGCAAAGTTCAAACAAGCAAGGAATTAATAAAATTAGCTTATAGGAAGGTACACCACGTAAGTATTTAATACTGCAAAGCTTTCGGTCCGTTTATGATTCAAAAGTGCAATAACGGACAGGAAGCTTTGCAGTATTATTACTTATGTGGTGTACCCATAGGCTACTTTACTTATTCCATGTCACCATGCAAACGTACTAGAGTATTAGACTAAGAACTGTCAAAATATTTAATTCATTTTAGAGGTACGACATGCATTAATTTCAAGTTGGATTAGCAAGTAAAAATATCGGCAGAATATTATTCACTTACTCTTTCACTGCATCAAAGTCGAGATCTCTGATGCTCGAATACCCAGAGAGGGCAACAACTTCGTCATCTTGCATATTCGTCAGATTTAACATATGGATAGTATCTGCTTGATTATGGAGATAATATATCACATTACGACGACCATCGTATGTAAAACGTTCAATAAATTCTTCATCTGCTGCCAGAGTTTTGACATGAGAACCATCCAAACTGACCATGTATATAGCCTCGCTAGCATTGTAAACTAATACTCGACGGCTATGTTTATCGTAGACCAGTCGAGTATCAGAAGATTGCATAATTGACATAACTTTGTTGGTCAATGTGTTGTAAGAATATACAGCAGAATCACTGGCGTAATAGAGAATTGGTACTTGACAAAGATCTGAATAGAAGATTTCGTATAACTGTTAGTAGCCCCATATACGGCAATCATATACGACACGATTTACAATAAAACATTTCAGCAAATCCGCAACTCTGGCATTATTATGTGCAGCCAAATACTTGTAAAATAATATTTTGGCAATTTCAGAAGATTCCTTTCGTCCGCCCACTTCTCATTTTAATACTTGTTACACCGAAGCCTCCACGGAGGTAAGCTCTGCACTCACATGTCAGTCACGACAAGTACAATTATATAGAAAGTAGGCTTAAGAGAAACGTGTAAGAGAGAAAAAGGTCGAATATTCAAATACCTTCTAATTCACACCGCTGTCCTAAAAATCCAAATGGACAGCTGCATTCGAATGCACCTCCATCAAGATTTTTGCACGAACCACCATTGAAGCATGGAGCGCTGGCACACGGGGTACCTGTGGGAAACATTAGGATAAGAGTTATCAGACAGAAACATTAAAACGCTAGCAAACTGTGGCATAGGAAGTAGGATAATATTTTTATAGGGGGGGGGAGGAAATATTCACATATGTCTATTCATGTTGTGCATGGCCAATTTCTTTTCAAATAGATTGCCTTTACAGTGTGTTAAGATGAATATACGAATCCCCCCCAATTATCGTGTTTTTCTTGCCACTACTTGTCAATTATACAGTTTAAAGACATATGCCGCGACCGCAGTAATGGACGAGAACTACGCAATACCTTTTCCAAAAAAAATTATATATATACCAAAAATAAATATGTCATAAAAAATTATCAAATACAAAGGTTATATAACACAGCTTGCGCAAACATGCCATAAATTTACTTCCACTACGACTAAATTCAACACAATATTTGAAACGTACCACAAATCGCAAATTCAGGTGATTTTTTCCACTGTATTTGGATGTCGGAAGAGCAATCATCAGCGTACGCCTCAAGAGCTTGACAATAACAAACAACAGGATCATCTTCACAAGCACACATGTCATATTCACAACCTGCAATATATCCTTCTTCAGTTGCATTGATATAACTGGAACAATTACTGAAGGGTGGTTTAAGTAATGTTGAACAATTCTGCCGTGCTATCAATCTTCTCTCTGGATTGGCGTCACATGGGTGGTCCACTGTAGTTGCATTTTCACATGTAGGATCAACTTTCCAAGAATTTCCAAACTCTACTGGATCAGTTACGATTGTTCCATAAGACGTCCAGAAATCATCATATTTCATTTCGTTGTAAGTACCACATAAACCTGATGTTCTGTTCACGTATCGACCTCCAATTGTTATTCGAACATTATAAACATTGTTCCAAAACACAGTTACACCATAATCACTTGTGACGACAGTCCTACCATTGCCATGAATTGTAACATTTACAGCTGAATAAGATAAAAAAAATTCATATTCTGTAACGACGTATGATAAACGTTTATCTTGTTGTTTCGTTTGTCGTGATAAAGGTGTTAAATTATAGTGCACTGTTGAAGTAGTTGCTATCGTGAAATGTTTTTGTATTTGGAATCCACAAGGTTATAATTCAAACGTATACGGATCTTCATTTAACTGTGTTGAGCAGCAACAGGCAGAGCTTTGTGTGTGCGGTATACTTGTCAGTAGCAACCACAATTAATGAATGCATTGAAACAAATGAACATGCAACAAATTTTGTAAACCGATTTAAATTAGAATAAATTTTACCCCCGTAGTTTGTCGACGAGCTGATATCTTCACCATTCACATTAGTCATTCCTCTCTGAAGTTTTATAGTTAAACCCGGGAAGGTGACTGTTATTGATTTCGTACATGTTACTAGTCCATTTCCACAAGGTTCATTTTCTTGTCTTATTTCAAACGTGTTGTTTACTCTGTCTTTAGCCAGAACATATTCGCATTTACCCATGAAGTCAAACCGTTTTCCATCAAATGTTTTATAATGAGGATCTCCATAAGTTACACATGTTGCTTCCACTACAAAAAGAAGTATGGAAAATAATACGAATGCCATTTTCATGATACATTTATTTATTTTTACATACAACAGCAATTTGTGAAAAGCATTTTGACGCCACTAGTTTCATGACTTGGAGCAAAATGATATTGTGCCAGAGGCGTAGCCAGGATATTAGGGATGGAGGGGCAGCAAAAACCTAGAAGGCGTGAGCAATACTAGGGGTCCGGGGGCATGGCCCGCCGAAAATTTTTGAAACTTCGCGACCCGCAAATGTGATTTCCTGCATTTTCAGGGTGAGATTTTGCAGAATAAAGTCAGAATTCTGAGGTCTATCTAGTGCATAAAGGACACGACTTTCTCGCCCCAAGTTTACACTGATTTAAACTTTTTGCGAGAATGGTCTTAAAAGCAATTCGGGGGCATCGCCTCCCCTCGCTCTTCCACTACGCCACTGACCGGCAGTGTGACTCGAGAGAAGGTTCATGCTAAACATTCTGGGCAGGATTTTGTGACATTAATGATGGACAATTTCGATGGGCAAGATCACATACAGACTTTTTGTGGTATTGACAGCATAAAAAGGATTCACGTCATTTTCTCAGGAGGGGCCCAAAATTTCACCAAGGGAGGAGGGAGGCGGCCCTTCGGCCCCTGCCCTAACTACGCCTCTGTATTGTAACTTTTAAAGCAAAGAAGCAAAGTCGATGATTCTTTTCAACCAAATGTTACTGAACTAGTACACGATTATCGAAACAGTAGAAAATTGTATACGCCGATATACGAATCACCTTACCCGAAGTAACATTAAACCTAAATTTCTAACAAAGATTGAAAATTAAACAAAAATATTCCCAAAAAATAAAGTGCATTACCAACCTTTTTGTTTACAATCATCTCCTGTGTAATCTTGATGACAAACGCAATCAAACGTATCTCCAACTCTGACACAAACTTCATTTTCACCACAAGATAGATCATCACAATCATCAACTACGATAAAAATAATAAATAAAAGCCTTTAGTTACAGATGAGTGGACGGTACGCAAGACAGATAAGAAATTATTTTAAATTCTAAACTAAGAAAATTTTTTGGAAAATTCATATACGCAAGATTTTGCGCTTAAACTTGGCAATTATACTAAGTAAATTTCGGTATGCTCGTTTCAGCTGTGGTGATTTATTTCCTTTTTGTTGTCTGGATCATAAGTTGGTCTATTATTCTTTTGCATTCGCCATACAAAATTTCAGGAATTTTATTCGAATATCACAGCGAATTTTTGTCATACTCTCCGAATTTTACAGCATTTTCGCGATCAAACTTTGCGATTGTCATGCATGAATAGCATTCAAATTGTCCGTTCTTCAGGAAAATGAATGATATATATCCTTTGCAAGGCTTTAATATCCCTCGGATATCACCTTGCAATTCATACAGCGCGTTTATCCGCCATCAAGGATTCAATCATTATTTAATTAAGTAACATTTGCAGTATCGGCTAGAAAATCATTCTGAGTGAAGCAGAAGAGTCTTAATTCGCTCTATCAGAACAACACAAAATTGAAAATATTTACCTTCCATTTCACAGCGGTGACCAGTAAACCCGACAGGACATGAACACGAAAAGTTACTATGAATATTTGTACAAGTACCACCATTGAAACAAGGATCACTAGCACAAGGAGTAGCTGAATAGAGAATAAATATTGGGTTAACCCTAATCCTAACTTGTACTATTGTAAAAATGCCTGAGGCTGCCATTACTAGAAATTTGTTTACCCATTCAGTTTCTATTTATCCGACGTCGCTAAGTACACAATACATATACATTTGTCCTCATTTAGCGGAGAAAGACGGAATTGATTACTCACTACATTGCTGATATTGAGAATAACTCAACCAGTTAATGTTCACTCCATACGAGGCACAGTCATCGGCATACGCCTCTATTGCTTGACATAAACAAACAGTTGGATGATCATCACAAGCACAAACATCATATTCACAATCGCTAATATAACCCTCTGAGTCTGGGTTGATATAACTTGAGCATTTATCAAATGGAGAATCGCGTAGAGCTGAACAGTTGGATCTTGCAGTTGCATTTCTGTCAGGATTTGTTGTACAAGGATGATCAACAAATGTTGCATCTTCACAGCTAGGGTCAGTTTTCCAAGAATTGCCAAATTCTACTTCATTGTCTGTTGTTGTACCATTTGACATCAAGAAATCATCTCCGCGATATCGATTGTATGTTCCACATAAACCAGATGTTCTGTTCAGGTACCGACCAAACACAGTCACTCTCACATTATGAACGTTGTTCCACTCAACCTCGACACCGTAATCGCTTTCGACCAACGTAATGCCACTTCTGGGTTGGAATATCTTCACTCCGTTGGCTAAAAGAAATAATGATGTTACAAGCGTATAAAAGTACTTGCAAGAAATACGAGGATTTTAGGTCCCGTCCCGATAAGCAAGTTATACAGATTAGTTTTGAATAAAAAAACACAAATCGCCTTTATCCACAGGTCTAAGTTTCGTAGTCGAAGGATGGTCGGTTTTCCCCAAGTTGAACAATAGCGGTTTAAAAAATTACACACATATAAGTATATAGAGGATTTTAGTAGGATATGACACCGAGTTGCAGCCTGCCATGGCAAGCAGAAAATTCTTCTACTTGCATAACCACGGCAGGATTTGAACCCACGGCCTTCGGTATACTAGTCCGATAGTCAGACATATAGAGGATTTAAGAATATTCTGGATGATATTTTGGCTAAATTCCATTATTTGAATAAATATTATTAGTGAATAGATTTGTGGCTAATATCCGGTAGGCAAAAAAATCAAGAATTAGCGCCTGTTTTGAAAAAGCTAACTCACATAGAGTGTGACATAGAAATTTTGTTATTACTTATCAATGAAAAAGTTCTTTCTCTATTAATGAAGAGATTTAAGGTAAAAGATTAAAAATCAAGCCATTTGTTTGAAAATACCGCCAGGAAAATTATGAGAAAATTGAGATCTCCTACTGAGTTTGAGTGTGAGTGAGCTTTTAAAATATAATCGCAGGTCTTCACAAATAGAGTTAGAGCTAACAGAGCTAGGAACAGTTTCCCACAAATGAATATAATCCATGTTTACTTACCCATATACATTGTTGATAATGAGATTGTCGTGCCATTAACCTTCACACTTCCTCGCAGAAGTTGAATTGTCACATTTGGGAAAATCACTGTCAGTGATTTTGTACAGGAAGGCACACCATTTCCACATTCTTCATTTACTTGTCTTATTTCAAATGTGTTGTTCACACTGTCCTTAGCCAGAACATATTCGCATTTTCCCATGAAATCAAAGAGTTTTCCATCAAATGTCGAGTAGTGCGGGTCACCTCGAGCTTTGCAGGTGGCATTAACTGTAACAATAATTTCAAAACATTAAAATAAAAACGTTACTGTAAAATTGTTACCGGTCCAACAAAGGGAGAATTTCGGTTTAGATCTATCAGCTAGTTTGTTTACATTTTTAGCAACCCAATCAAAATGCATAAATTTTGACCGCTTGCGGTAATTGGTATTACAAAAGTATTACAAATGTAGACATTCCGATTGGCTTTTTCAGAAAAATGTAAAAATATGCCGACTCGTTTAAAACGAAATATTCCACCTTGTTTACCGGTCCTTATCCAGCAGCATTATCTAAAATCATCGCAACTTTGTTAATGTGTATTTTACTTTCATTTTTTTCACGACTACAACCTGTTCTAGAAAAAGTTCCGTGGATCGTTACTGTTATTCTAATTTAATAGAATTCAGTAGCTAATTCTTGCTGTTTAATCTTTGAAGCATGAAATTATTGGATATGAAGAAAAGGAGGACTAACAAGGGATTGCAACACAATAGGGACCATAAAGATAATGAACTATTTGAAACTGTTTATTACAGTTATAGTTTGGACAACATTGGTTTAGCGGTTGCTAAAAAATGCATTAGTTAAAACGTTAAAGAAAACAGCACGAAGCTTTTGGAGAGCTCCAATTCCACGATTAAAAACGAAGCAATAGTTTAAAGCTAGTCTGGACTGTCATTAAAATCGAATTATTATGTTGAGTTTTGACTAAAAATATTGATACTGTTATGCGGCAATTATATACGGTATAATGTAATCACAATGATAACAATGATTTCTATTTTCGTTAAGATTTGTCACTCACCTCGCTTGCAATCGGGCCCTTCATAATCTTCTTTGCACACACATTCAAAGGAACCATTTATTGGAATGCAAATTTCATTTTCTCCACAGGCAAGGTTACTGCAGTTTTTCACTGTAAAAGGGTATAATTATAATAATTACAAAGTTTCTAAATATTCCACTTTTTTGGATTTCCGGAATTGAAAAAATCAGAAACATGCACGACTGG